GGTCTTTCGTAGAAGAGCGGTAGATCTTCTTACAGAAAAGCAATAGGTCTTCTCATAGGCCAATAGTGGGTCCTCTCAATAAAAACGATTAGGTATTCTCAAAGAAGACCAGTATGAGTTCGCCAATAAAACCAGGTGGTCTTCTAAAGGAAGACCAGTCGGTTTTCTGATAGAGGACCAGCAGGTTTTCTCATAGAAGACTAGTAAGAGTTCTCATAAAGGATCATTAGGTCCTCTCATAAAAGACTACTAAGTCTTCTCATCAAGGGCCACAAGGCCTTTTCATAAAAGATCAGTCGATCTTCTAATAGAAGACCGTTGGGTCTTCACATACAAGGTCATTGGATTGTCACATAGAAGCCTTCTCATAGAAGACCATTAGATTTTCTCAAGGAAGACTTGTAGGTTATCCCACAAAAGAAAAATACGTTTTGCATGAGAACCCCGGTGTTAGTGCCATAAAAAATCTCTTTCCATTACCTTTCACATGCAAACAAATGTAACATTTTTATAAATATGGTTCTCCCACAAAACTAAATATTTTTTTTCTTATATTGCAGGTGCATATTTATGTATGTACATGGGTTGAGATACACACATATGAACACATGTGCATGAGTTGCGATGTTGTAATCGTTGTAATGCAAACATGAATTTCCACCAAGCACACACATACATAAACACCAATGTATCAGTACCTTATAATATTGAAAAAATTATTTTGCCTGTTGATATTAAAAAATTTGTGTGTGAAGTTTTTTTTTTTTTTTTTTTTTTTTTTTTTGTAAAAGGAAGGAATTGCAGGAACTGTATCACATTTCTCATTTCATTTCCACAGAACGAAGAAAATATCTTTTTCCAATCATATTTTTTTCAGGTAAATTTCATTTGACATTTTCTAATTATTATTTTGAAGTAATAATTCGAATACCAACAAAAAATAAAAATCAATTAAAAATATTCTGAGATGCTGCCTGTACGGTAGAAGGCAGTTAGAAGAAGAATGCCGCCACATTGCCTTTGGCATTTACAAATGGTTTACCACAGCAGATGTTGCCTGCGTTGCTGCATCTAATGACTTGGATGCAATAGAAATACCAAACTACTTGCAGTCAGAGTTTGAAGTTTCATAGAAGAGGGAGACAAATTAAGTCATGCAATCACAGGGGATACTTTCAATTCAGTAGACACGATATCTTTTCATAATTATGTTTCTGATAGTAAATGTAGACTGCTCGAAATAAAATGCGTGCAGAAACTTGTAAAGACTTCTGTAGTTTAAGTTAACGAACCGTTGAGCGTCAACCGAAATATAGATGTAATTAAATTTCTATACATCACTAGGTTAGATGGAAGGTTGCTCGACTACCACAATATAAGCCACTGCAGAATATAACAGTATAGTAGTTATGGATATAATGCAGGATACTGATCATAAAGGTAGAAAAGAGCGTTTTTGATGAGACAAAGTCTTGGATGCCATTTACGATGTAATGTCGACAAAATTCCATTTTTTTTTTAGTAATTACAGGAAAATCCCAGTAGACTAGAAGAGTGGAGTTAACTAGTAAGCAAAGGCTACATTCGTGCAGGGACGACCATTTAATACCATACAACACTGCAATTTCTGCAGATCTGAAACATTTTTCAACATTTTGAATATCCATGAAGCTCTAAATCACGAAATTGACATCCAGACTTGGCACTTCTCTTTATTTCTATCAACACAAGATCTGTTATAAAGATGGTAGGGGATAGTTTGGTACTCCCCCATAAAGGGTCAACGTTTTGTATAACCAAAACAATCATAAAATCCGAAATAAGCATCCGGCTCTCTTCATATTTCACACATTTCCTTACTTCCACTAACACAAGATCTGCTGTGAAGATGACACATATCGGTCCACTCCATCAAGTACCTCCTCCTCAAAGGGTTAAAATTTTGAATATCCATGAAGCTCATAAAACGAAAAATTATCATCCGATTCCATTCAGACTTGGTACAACTCAATATTTCCATTAACATAAGATATGATATATATATGGTAGAGATCGGACAATTTCATCTGGTATCTATCTCACAATGGGTTCAAATTTTTAAAAAACAAAACGCTCCAAAAAAGCGATATAAACATCCAACTCTCTTCAAATTTCACACATACAAACATTTGTTGCTACACATGATCTGTTGTTAAGATGATGTATATCTGCAAACCCCTTCTGGTATCTCCCTCACAAATGGTCACAATTTTCAATACTTTTATCTGTCATAACTTGTGAAACAAGTCAGCGATTATTTACAATTAAAAATTTATCTCAACCAGGAATCTGAGATGAATATGGAATTTACGAATATCTACTCACGCATAGCTTAACATTTTCTAAAAATTATCATATATATCATTTTAAGTGAAGGCAGTAACCAATTTAGTCCAAACTTGACATATCGCAATATGTATATCATATTTGCTTACGTCCGATACGAAATGCACAATATTGGTCCATTCCTTCGGAACCTAATCCATAGCCAACATATCTTTAAATAATCGAACATTGGCTGAGACTATACATCTGTCGGCAAAACCGACATATACTTTTTAACTTGTTAAAATTTAAATTAAACACAAATATTTAAAAAAAATCTGAAGCTTTATTATATCTTAAAGTAGACAGAATGAGGTTATGTTTAAAAAAGGTATCGTGCAGATGCAGGCAGACACGCGGCAGGCAGACACGCGAACTTTTAGTTAAATTTGTGATAAATATTTTGAATAAATGCTGCGCCGAATTCTCTCCTTTATCGCTTAAGTCGTCTTGGGATTATTCGCATAAATCATAGACTTTTAACCTCCCCAAAGAAAAAATCTAAAGTTGTTAAACCGTACTATCTAGGCGGCCAATACTGGTCTACAAAATGTGAAATAACACAACCGGGAAATGACTGATCCAGCAATTGAATTGTTTCTCTGGCTGTATCATATGGCGTACCGTCTTGTTCAAGCCACATACCCTCCACATTCGTTTCTTCAACTCTAGATAAGAAAAAAATGGTTATCATTTTACAATACCGAACACCATTGATTGTTTGCGCTTGACCTGCCTTTTTTTCATAAAAAAAGCCCAAAAACTACATCACACAGCGACACCTTGAGGATGCATTTGATTCTGGTGAATCACGCGAGGATTTTCAAAACCATATAGCCCCGATATAACGGAACTTCCCGATATTCGGTATTTTGATAATTTTGGCGACATTATTCAACGGAATTGTTTCAAATTTGGCATTACTACAACCTATGAGAGAAAATTGTCTGTGCAGATCCACGTATTCGTATATCTCCCATATAACGGTACATCCCGATATTCGTTATTTGATGATTTTAGCTACATTAATCATTGATTTTTTTAAGACCCTAATAAACGGCTACATTCGGCATTTTTATTATATGTTAACAGAATTTTTAACGGAATTCTATTTCACCCGCTAAATATTATTCGATGACCATCTAATAGCCCTAATATCTAGCCGCATGAAAAATTCCGGGTCGATTAGTATTTAATTGTGGTTTAATTGTGGTTGTTGTAGCCACTGCAAAATCAAGAAATTTTTTGTTTTTGATTCATTTCAACCCCTAAATATTTTGCCATCATCTTCAAAAACAAAAAACTTCTGTTCTGACCTAAGAAAGATCGATCCTTAATTGCGACCTGTATCGTGACATGGACAGATACACATAGCTAGATCGACTCAGCTCGGCGAGAAATGAAAGATCAGTATACACCTTTCTACGTCTTTGACTAATATTTCGAGGTGTTTAAAACTGGTTGGCCCGAACAAATTTAGTTTTGAAGGGTATAAAAACAGAAGACACATTTACATCGTAAAGTAACCTAAATTAAGAGTAAAGGGAAGGGAAAACTTCCACATTTATTAAAATTTTTGTAGTTCTTGCATTTTAGATATAATGTCTTCGGCAATATTACGGATAACAATACAATAATTATTTTGGACGAAAATTTTAACTCTCAAGCGACCCAATAATGATGTATTTTAGATCCTTTTAAAAATAGATTTAAAATTCCTATTAAACGGAATCGTAGCAAGCCAAATGGTTCTATAAAATTCTACTGTAGGTTCTAAAATATTTAGTGGACTGTAATAAATTCCCTAATTACTAAGGATAGAATTTTTTAACATTCAAATCAACACCAACTAGATGAGCGTATATCATCATTGAATTCCATGCTACAAAATATAATGTGTTTTTAATATCGCTTTGAAGTCAAGTAGTTGCCAAAATAAACCACAATGTTGTTTGGTAAAAACGTTTGATACTAATTAGTTAGATGTTTGCACTTTCACCTTTAATTTCGCAACATTTGATGCTATGCCATTATAGAGTAGTGTGAAACGTGTATTGCATTTTTTTAGCTCTTTATGTGAAAGAAGAAAATGAAATGTATTTGTTACTCGGAATGCTTAATACGTGTAGTTTTTTTAATTGAACCAATAGTTATTAACGTAAATTCATTTAATGCAAAGAATTTGAAGCTTTAAAATGAACACATTACATAAAAATCAACACGATTGCAAATTGTGGGAACAAAAGGCTTTCCACACGATGAGACAGTGACGAAGTTTAATTTTTAGATAATTTAAGGCTTTAAACGGCAATATTCCACATAATTAAAATATAAAATCAAAAAGGAATTTTCAAGATTTTGAGAACAAAAGGCCTCGTACTATTTGCCCATAACAGTGACAATTTTTTTTTTTTTTTTTTAATTGATATGCTCTTTTATATCCTCAATCATAGTGTGGAGAATATATTTAATTTATCATTCCGCTGAATCTGCAAATTACAGCTGGGTTTGTTCAAAATTTACGGCGAATTTGTAACCATTTGACATCTGACCCCACATATATGTACGTTCGAAGCTATTTATTGAGATCAAAAGTTGATGTTTTTGCTGAAATTCATCTAAATGCCAATACGAAATCTATGAAAAAGTTTTTATATATTATGAACAAAATCGTATTACAGTGTCTTTGTATATAAATCATTATATACAATAAATTAAATACAGTCTTATATCCAGAAAATCGTTAGACAAAAACAAAACGCTTATTACAAAATATGTCTTTTTGTTATGCTTTTTAAAATTCAATAATGAAAAAAGAGCAATTTTGAATTCTCTACATTCTACTATTACAATAATAATGATAAGATAATGTGTATGCACTGTGTTAATTTAGATATTTGGAATTTAGAATTTTAAAATAGCGTAAAATATATTCACCCAAATGTTCGCTTATGTAAAATGTCCAATCCAATGTTTGTGAGCGTTTATAATTCGATGTGCTATGCATTAAATCATTCGATTCGTTGGAGGTATGCAACAAATCGGAGAACAGAGAATCTGAAGTAATTTTAATGGATGAGGTGTGTAGGAAATTCATAATACGTTCATTGGTAAAATCGGCGTCCTGAAAAATAAAACAAAAACATTTAGCATACTATTGAGAAAATATAAATGTTCAATATAGCTTACCTCTTCCATATCTTCTCTTTCCTTTGTGAGTCGCACATAATATTTGGTTTTGTCATTATTATCTGCCGTAACCTGCACCTTGTCTAGAGGTAAGGCAAACAGCAATCTACTTGCCTCCGCCTCAATAATGGCAAAAATTCTTGAGGTTAGAAAAACATAACCTCTTTTTAGGTGATCTTCATCACTCAGGGTTACATCGTGATAGAATAAAATCTGATCACATGACATTTCAATGGGTAATATCTTCCATGTACGATAACCGGACGGTTCCAGTGACAAATTTCGTAATGTGGATGGTGACCTTTGTTTTGGCATAGCATTGAATCCCACCGTCTGCAACATGCCTTGACCAGCCAAGGCCAAAAGTTCAGCAGCACCACTAATGGGTTTGGTAAATGCTCCCACCAAACCTTTGCTAAGACCAGTAAAAACTTCCACCGTGGAACGAGCCTCTAAAGTGTGATGTGCCAAACCACCAACAGCTCCCAGCATGCTAATCCCCAAACCGGTCATACCTTGTGAGAGACCTTCCGTAAAACCTTGTGGCCTAGAACGGCGAAGAGCCTCTGTTCGTTCTATGTGTTCCTCATCCAATGTCAAACGATCCAAATTTCGGGCCACCGAGGCAGCTAATTTTGTTACTGAATTGACGGTACCAGCCGTTACATTTTTCAGCAATGAAGCGGAGCCTTGTGTTATACCAACTATAAAGCCCCATGGGCCACGGAAAAGACCCCTCACCGGCAAGGAAACAAAATCTTTCAGGCCGGTGGTAACTGATCTTGCCAAACCACTGGGGCTACCAAGAATTTCCAAAGAACCCACAACCCAGCCAGCACCAAAAATAGCACCCGACAAGTAATGCATGCCCAAATTTTGGCCAAATTTCATGGGCATAGTCAGCAAATGGCTTCGTTCATATGACGAGAATGACAATGGGGAGTGATCCAAAGCGATATACAAACGTACAGAGGTGTGTACAGATAGTAAAACGCTCATTGGCTCGATACAAAAATATCTCAATTGTAAAGGCTCAGCTGTATACAAGGCAGCTCGGGCAACATCATTTGGTATACACAATTGATTGCCAATCAGTTCAATGCGTTCCATTTTCGATTTTGGACGATAGGCACAGTTGGATGGCTCACACTCAACTAGGGCATCCAAGAAATCCGTAATGTACGCATCTTCTATGTAAGCCCGCACCGGAGTAAAATGACACCTTAGGGAACATATTTTGAATTCATCTTCAAAGAGTTTAAGCTTCAAGCTTATCATGGGAGATTTCTCAGCTAGATATTTATAATAGCTTCCCAGATAATAGGGTTCAGGCAAGAGATCATTACGTTGATACAACTCTTGGGCACACAGTATGACGGGAAAATCATATTTTCCGGTTGAGAACAATTGATTGTCAATTTGTAGGTTAGGTATTACAACATTCAGGAGACGTTCATCTTCCGAGTCATCGTAGGCCATCGCAAAATCATCCGCATATAAACTGAAAACTTCTTGTTTCATATATTGCCTTTGGGCGCTGTCCGTATGAAGACTGAGAACTATCTCCTTAATGAAAAGTCGAAGTTTGGTATCCGGTCGAGGTGTACATTCATTGCGAAAATGATGGCATACATCGGGTTTGGAGAATTGTGGAGTTTCTGTATATAGTTTAGTAATTGTTGTGTCTGTGGTACTTTTGTATTCTTTATTTCCAGAACAGTCTATTGACTTGGGTTCCGTAGTAGACAACCGCAAACGTAAATCTTTAACCGAAAATTCCATTTGCTAAAAATATGAAATTTAAATTGTATTGAAAAAATAACATTCAGTTTAATTTGCCACTAATTCTATCTTACCTGAGATATGTAATAAATATTTAGCCGTATTACTCGATGTTTATCACAGATTATAACCTTAACATCCCCATGTCCCGGAATATGCAGGAATTTTTTCCATGTCTTATCCAAACGAATTGGCTTTGACCATTTAATGGTCTTCTTAGTGGAGGCATCTGTGAACCAATTTTTAATAGGTAAAAAATATAATTCTCCAAATGGAATTCATCTAACTTACCATCATACAATGCCAAAGTGATGTTACACAACGTGGAATCGACTTCAGGAAATCGAATGTACCACTCAGGTGGTGTGTAGTAACATTTGCTTTGCTTCGGTATCATGTGATACCATTCCAAGTGTTTGCCATCATATTCAGGAGTGGTTGAAGAAACTTTACTATTTTCCGAGGCGTTAGTTTGGGCAACAATAAATGCACAATCGGTTTGATTGTTAACCAAAACGGCGGGTGAGGGATCTTCCGAAATACTTAAATAATATAAGCCCTCGTGTTCGATGAGTGAAACCATCAAAGCAAATGATTCATTTCCGCGCTGTACACTCACACATTTTCTATTAAACGGCAATGCCAGTGGTATGGGTATTGAAATATCCGCATCTTCTTCCATTTTAATTACCACAAAATATACAAAAGCTGTATCCACTGAACGTGAAGCACTCTCAAAATTGATATCACAAAAAGTGGTCAGCGATAGGCCAATACTGCTATACCATTTGTAGGTTGGGTTAACCGGTATATTAGGAGCTTTTTCATTTAATCTCTGGATATTGCAACGCATTACATTCTCCTTGTGGTCCATGGCAAATGGCAAGAGATAAAGTGGTATTTTGGTATAATTTACTACACCAAATTTAGAACTTAATTTCAAAATTTTACAATTATTTTCAGTGTTTAGTTTTAAGACAAATTTGAACACCTCCTTGTCTCGAAGGATGACAATATCGGTGACATCTCCCTCTGTCAAAACATAATAACGTTTGCATTGATTAGACAGGGCATTTTCAAAAAATATTGGCAACGAATAATTCCATGAAGCATCATGGCGAATGCCAATAACAAAACCTTGAGAAATATTAAACAACATTTCCAGTTGATTGGCACCAATTGAAATTTGTTTGGTTTCCTGTTGCGTTGACGCCTCAAATTGCTTTAATTGTATCTCCACGCCTGTGCCATTTATAAACATTCCCCAAGGCGCCACCTCCAAATTGAGAGTACATGAAAATTCTCTGCTCACTTGAGTATTATATATTACATCACTTTCTGCGAAATTTTGTGAAATGCGTTTAACCTTCAACTCTTCTTCATTTTCTAAAGGCCAATTCTTGGCCAAAGGTTTTGCCAAAACATTTAATGCATTCTCTATCGTCCATTTGTGTTCATCATACCAAAAGAATTTTTGCCAATCCAACGATCTTAAACGTAGCGTATAATTATCCTGTGATGATGCACTCAATGGAAATTCATAGTTGAATTTTAGCGGATGTTCTGTTAAATGTGTAGCTGATGCATCCAAAATATATTGTCCTCCCTGTCCCAATAAACTAAATTCTTGTCCGGTAGTTACTTCCTTTGCTTGAATGGCACAATTTAACTTGGATGTTATTTCGAAGATTGGCCAAATGGTAATTAGGATTTTTTGTGGATACGTCGAATCGTTCGATAAAGTGGTTATATCTTCTCGCAAAATTCTTACCCAAAAGCTGATGAATTCATTATTAGTGACCGGAACTACAAAAAGGAAGAGTAAATTGATGAACTAATTTTAAACATGGACAATTTTAGTCTCACCTTTAACCAACCAAGGTAATTTTTTGTTCATTTTCAGTGGTATATCTCCGGTGCGGGCTCTCACTTTATTATCTGCTAATCTTAATCTGAAACATAACAATAATAAAAAAAATTGAAGTTAATGTTTTTTCTGTTAGAAATCCTTAGACGGGACTGAATGTAAGAAACATCTCTCTCCAGTAAATGGACAGACGTGCTTTGCGTCTTTATATCGATCCAAAGGAAGCATGATCTTGATTATGTTCACATATTTATAAATGTTTTTATAAAGAGCCTAAATTCTTGCATTGCGAAATTTTTTTGAATACCAATAACAATTCACCAGTGCATCTATGCGAATTTCTTTCACATTAGAGTGCTTAGGGTTGAATTATTCATCGGAATCTTTTTCCATTGTCATCTGTAGTTTTAACACACTCACACACACACACTTGAAACCCAAAATGCATGGATTACAAGAACACACACAACGAGAATTAAGAACATTTTTACATTTTTACATTTAAATTTTCCAAACTATTTGAACCTTAGAAAATTTATTTCAAACCAATCACTTACCTCATGCTTATATTCGTATTGCGATTGACATTATAATAAAATGAATTTCTGCCATTCCGCTCGATAAAATATTCCAATGGTTTATTTGTCTCATCGTACACTTTTCCCTCTTGGCGAAATTCCAAACGCAGATTATGCTCAACCATTGAAATCAACTCAATTTGGCCCTGAATCAAGACACATATTTGCGAACCGGATAACTTTTTCGATTTAATTATAATGCACTTTTGTCCAATGCAGAATGTTTGTGACATTGTTTCGTTATCGAATTTAAATGGAATATGTATTGATTCGGATGTATCCACAGTGTTGGTTTCCTCATCGGATATATACAAAGTTAAATCTTGACTACTGCAATCACTGCGAAAAGAATACATACAGCATTCTTTGGGACTTAATGGTATGCGTTCGTGTGTACCGGACTGGCCGAAAGCCATGGCGGTCATTGTACGATTTACCACAATACATTTCGGTATTAGAACATGATGTACACGCCGCTCATTCTTATCCAGACATTCTTCCCAATGTTGCTTGGACGAGAGCAGGGTATGCAGCACCGATGGACCCAAATTGAAACGTAAACGATCACATACGAAATTAACGTTTACGATATTTTTCTTTTGATCCATTTCCAAATATGTCTGAATAGTTGTTTCCTCCAGCAACGGCAACATATTAAAAAATCCATAGTCCAAATATTTAATGTGGGCCGTCAGCGACACATTGGCATTGTATTTCTGACGGCTATAAACAACGCCATGCATTTTAATATTTTGTAGAGAGAACACCAAAAAGGCTTGGGATATTTTTAAATTATTGGCCAAATGATAATTCCTCAACGTGACCGGCAATTCATCATTATCGTTGGGTTTATTCAACAGGTTCACATATACCGTATTGAAACTTAACAATGTTTGTATTTTCGGCACCGATTTTGATTGGAATGTTGTGTCTACCCGCATACAGGCAACTAATACTTTTGGATGTAACATAAAATCAGAATCTTTGCGACCCTTGCCCAATATTTCTTCAATGTTCATATTCGAAATCGATTGCAATTCTTCATCTTCTTCACTGGTATCGAAACATTCGCCATCGACGGAAACCAGCGATTGTAAAATTACCACCCGCCATATGGTGGCACAAATTTCACGTTCGGGTAATTTAATTTCTTTGGAATTGGTTTCCGAAAGCCAAAAATCACAAAAATGTAGAAATTGTTCATGCACCTCACTAAAATATTCCATACGACATCGTATGTGTATTGGATTAGAGACCTGTAAATAAAATGACGAGATATAAGATATCAGGGAGGCGTATGAGTACTACAATAGCATATACATATTAATAATTCGCTTTCCAGGTACCAAATGCAACTCTAGTACTATCGACTAAAAAATGTATAGAAAGAAACTATTTTCGGAAAATTCTGTTCAGCAGATGTCTATCATGTGTGAAAAGTGAAAATCATTTAGTTAATATATTAATATTTATAAACTGAAAACCATCCTTAGCCATCCTAAACCATCCTTAGCCATACAGATGAAAAAACTGCAACCAACTTAAGACTGCTTTCTTAAGCACTCGTCCGACAGCTGTTAAAATTATTCCAGTGACAGCTCATTATATTGTTTACAAGCGTACAAAAGCATTTTACTTTGATAATTTTCCAGAAAAAAAGTTATTCGTGATGGAATTCAAGCGTGATAGTGTGATTTCTTTACATTTGGCTGGAAAACCACAAGTTTCTATCGTCAGAGCACTCCAGCATTTAAATGTGAATAAATCTTTTGTGTCTCGTACCATCGCTCGTTACTGTGATACTGGTAACGTAGCCCGATGTCAAGGAAGTGGACGGAAGAAAACAAACAAATGGTTCGAAAAGTGAAGAAGCGACTTGATCGAAACAGGCGTCGCAGTGGCCGAAAAATGGCTAGTGAGCTGAATCGCAATATTCCATTCGGCAAATATTGAAAAATGAGCTCGGGATAAAGCCATTGAAATTCCAAAATTTCAAAAGATCTAAAGAGTTGCTTCCTTGGCCAAAAGTGGTGAACTGCAGAATTTGGTTTTCTCCCATGAGAAAACATTCGTTGTCCGGCAGTTTGAAAACAAACAAAATGATCGTGTTTACTTGCCAAAGAGGTAAGCTGAAAATGTGCACCTTCGGTTGACCACCAGAACACAAGCGCCAGCCATGATGATTTGGGCCGCCATAACAGCCGATGGTCGCTCTCCGGTCATATTAATCGACAATGGCATCAGAAAATTTGGCAATTTCCAAAAAAAAAAAAAATAGAATCCATTAAAAATTCTGTTAAAATCTTAAAAATACCGAATGCCTATATGACAACGTGGACCTGCACAGGCAACTTTTGTCATAAGTTATTACAATATTTAAATGCGAAACTTAAAGAAAAATCTGTTTATAATGTAGCTAAAATCATAAAAATACCGAATATAGGGGGTACCATTATATGGGGGCTATACGAAGACGTGGACCTGCACAGACAAATTTCTGGCATGGGATGAAGTATTCATTACGAACTTCACATGCGAAATTTAAAACAATCCCGGTAAATAATGTCGCTAAAATCATCAAAATTCCGAATATCGGGGGGTACGGTATATGGGGGCTATACGAAGACGTGGACCTACATGGCCCATTTTCTGTTTTATGCTGCACGAACTTCAAATACCAAATTTTAAACGATTCCGTTAAATAATGTCGCTAAAATCATCAAAATACCGAATATCGGGGGGTACCATTATATGGGGGCTATATGAAGACGTGGACCTACATGGCTCATTTTTTGACTTAGGATGTAGTTTTCATTGTGAACTTCAAATACCAAATTTGGAACGATTCCGTTAAATAATGTCGCTAAAATCATCAAAAAACCGAATGTCGGGGGGTACCGTTATATGGGGGCTATACAAAGACGTGGACCTGCACAGATAATTTTCTGTTGTAGGCTGTAGTATCCATTACGAACTTCAAATGCCAAATTTGAAACAATTCCGGTGAATAATGTCGCTAAAATCATCAAAATACCGAATATGGGGAGGTACCGTTCTATGGGGGCTATATGATAACTTGGACCTACATGGCTCATTTACGAACTTAACTTACCTACTGGCAAAATAAACATGTGTGCAAAATTTTAGCCTTCTATTTCAATTTGATCAAAAGATAGCGTGATTAAAACAGACAGACAGGCAGACGGACATGGCTAAATCGTCTTAGAATTTTACGCTGATCAAGAATATATATACTTTGTTGGGTCTGACATGAGTATTTCGAGGAATTACAAACGGAATGACAAAATTAATATACCCTCCATAGTATGGTGAAGAATATAAAAAGGTAAAAATTATGGCGTTTGACTTTGTTGCAGTTTTTTTTATCTCACCCTGTACTATAAACTGTACAATACGCGATGACATCGACAAATTAATAAATTGAATTCTAGGATAATGAATATATATTTTCGAAGTCGGGAAGGCTGTTGCGGTCAAAAAGAAACTGATTTGGTACCCTTTGATAGAAAAGAAAAAATGAATTGCGCCTACATACACATTTTTAGTCTAGGCTAGTAACCAACTCATTTGTAAGTAGCATCGAAACTAATTCGGTACAAATGCCAATATGAAATGCTACAACAACAAATCATTTTTTCCCCTTTATCATCTTCCACAAATAGCGAACTCATGTAAACTTTCAATCAAATGTCGCTAACTTACCGCCATTGGCACTGGGTATATGTGTATTTTACACATTTTTCTTGGCTGTGGATAACGCCAGCAAATAATACCATAGTCCTTTTTGATAATTTGCACTTGATAGGGCAATGGAAGTACTGCATCAGACATTAGTTCCACAAATTGGAAAGCACCAGCTCTACAAACAAAAATACAATACAAAATTCACACAACCAAAGACAATAGCACATTACATTCGAACATACCTTAAATCGTCCTGATAAAATTCTTCTCGTTTCAGACTCTTGTTGTTTTTAATAAATGAATTTATATTCGGATACTTAAGTTGACGCAAAACTTGACGATTTATTTCGCGGCCATAGTTTTCATGTAAATTTAAAGCTTGGAAGTGTTGCAATTGTTTTTGAGCATATGCAGCTATTGAGGACAAATCCGTTAAGGCTTGTTGCATTTGTTTTAGAATTGAAACTCCCAAATCGATTTGTATAACATTAAATTTACAAATAACATTGATCAAGGGTAAACGATTCCAGGGTTCGCTAACAAAATCAATGGAACCCCTCAACGACATGGGATGTAGGAAAATTTTACGATTTGTGCGTAAATATACTGCGGCCAATGAATATTTTACAGAACACTTTTCGGGTCGTGTTAAATACTTTAAATTAACTTTTAGTTCGTTGAGATTTAAATTAGTTTCGTAATCGGTGTGATTGGTTAGCTTGAGTCCAATATTATTACACTTAATATTTAAACGATCGGCGTTTAAAGTATTGGTTTTCATAAGCATAATTTTGGATAGACGATGTACGGGTCCTTGTTGGAAAGTACACAAAGTTGTAGCTGTGTTCGTGTGTATACAATTGTAGATTATCATAAGATTTTTACACATTTCCTCTATGTAAGATTGACTTAAGGTTATGACCAGCGGTTTCGATAAATCAATATCGATTTCCAGCATTTTCAATTTGGTTTGACTGGCTTTGTATGTCAACAATGCCGGTGGTATTCCGGTTGAACTCAATTCCCCAGGTTTTGTATCAATTATGGCTTCACAAAACTGTTCTACGGGGGGTGATGGGCTTGCAAAATTCCCCGAAGACCAGTTGCAGTTATGAATCTGTGGCAAAAATAACTTTAAATTGAATACCGAAAAATTTACCACAGAATCATAAATATTTTGGGTAACCATAAAACTTGGTTGTGAAATTGTCATGGACATTAAAGGCTTGACCAATGGTTCATTATTTTCCAGTGATAGCTCATGTCCTTCCTGTGTACAAGATGAATCGTATATTTTGAATGTAAATACCCCGGCCAACAATGAAATAGATTTGGGAAGATTTCTTTTGTTGCCAATAACAGTATGGGTTTTTATGGGTGGATAGATTGGTGGAAATTTATCCAATGGAATGTGGGTATTGTTTTGAGTCTTTAATACTTCTTTTGTTGGTAATGAGTGTGTCACAGATGGTTTGGAATTTAACGACTGTACACCAGAATCTGTTTTTATTTGAGGTTCACCGTCTTCATCAATCGATTCGAATTGTGATGCTGATCCCAAGCGGCTAAAACGTCGAATTTCTGATGTATTTACAATATTTTTCTGCTTCTCTGTTTTCGTTATGCGCATATTCAAATGATCTATGTTTGCCATAGATTCCATTTGTATTTTAGAATGTGGCGTTAAACGTCTTGTAGAGGAATTCAATTTTCTATTGCATATATTACGTATCGACCTGAAATGTTAATATTCAATTATTTTGCTCATTTTATATTTTATGGAGCAAAATAGGAATACTTACTCGGATATTTGTTGGAATTTTCGCCAATGACTCGCAAACATTTGCAACTGATCTGTACTTATATTGGTAACCATATCCGATGAACAATTAAACTCTAAAGCCTCTCCGCATATAAGTATATTGTTGTAAACAATATTTGGGGCATAAATAACAATGAGTGTAAAATTTTTAAATATTTCAGCCAAACGCAATGATTGTTTACGTTCGGGATTGTTCCACTCCACAGCTGGATTTGTGTGAAAGTTATGATCCTTATTACGCATATGTGTTAAAATTTCATGCCAATTGCCAGAGGCTGCCGAAAACTTTCTCAGAGTCAATTCATATTGACGATCTTCCACCATTGATCCCGGTATACTTAAAATACCCATTGAGGCCGCTTTACCATAAACATCTGGCCTCTGTGGTTTACGCTGCAGGGGATTTTGCAAATTGGGCGTAACATTAATACTATCTATTTTACATATTAATACTGAGCATTGCTGTTGCATTAGATTCGCTAAGGGAAAATAACATGTTATGCCTTTGCTTTCAAAGTGGACTAGGGGCAAGTCGGCAGCTTTTACAATGGTGGGGGCATTGTTCTTTTTGTCTTGCTGACAGTTTCGCTCTTCATCACTCGCATTTTTCCATATCAATGCACACAAAGGCTCCAAAAACTCTTGTATACAATCAAAATCCACAATGATTTCCATCGCCTGCATTATGACAACTATTTCACTTATAAAACGATCCATTTCTCCTTTACGTTTAACACCAATACGTTTGTAGAAATCTCTTAAGCACACCTTGGTAATGACAATATTTAAAAACGGAAGATCGGTGGTTTCGGCAATCATACGGACTCGAATACGCTCCTGTGCCAACCATTCATTCGGCGACTTTTGATTATAATAATTTAGATTGAAATTTCCTATTTTATTAGTATATTTTGTAAAATCTTGTCCCTGATCAACAGTGCAAAGGAAATCTTCAAGTTCCAAAACGATTTTACTACGTTGAGGCTGCTCGAAAGAATTGACCACTTCAACTATGATTTTTGTCACCGTCCATTGGCAGAAAAGGGAGAGTTTGTTCAACAGTGATTTATCTAAAATAGAAAAGAAAAATAAAATGGAGGTTTAAAAATTTAAATCTCTTTAAAATGTATTTTACTGAAAAACGCAAAATTTAAGAATTGGGCCACACTGGCTAGCGTCTCCTTTTTTTGTTGCTCTATACAACATTATAAATTGAAATTGTCTCCAATGGCCTTTTGACGTTTAAGTTTTATTACTTGAGCCTCGCTCATGGCTTTTCAGCTTTGACAACTACTTACACTCATTTGCTGGCTTTGAAGAAATATCCGAGTTCGAATCGAGATCCATAAACTCCTTAATATGATGATGATCTTCAGTTAGGGTAAGAATTTTAACTGGTTGCTTATTGCTCCTCGCACTTGCTGTATCCCGCTTGGCAACAAATATTACAGATGCCAAATCCAAAACATTTATAAAATGTTGAAAATGATTCTGCAAGGTATTTATATTATTGGCATACATATATACGGTGGAGGAATCCAAATGTAAATTTAAACATATTAATTCCACAACTTTATCTCCACTCGGGCAACCTTCGGCATTTCCAGCTGGCTTTGTGCCAACTTTTGGCAATGATGGTGTGGCCGATGATGAGTCTTTGCAATGTTCACTGCCCGAAAATATTTCCTTTAACGAGCCGGATGAAACCGAAGAATTTTCGTGAGATTTTGAGGCATGATCCGAAATGGGATTTTTTGATTTTGGCTTGTTACTGCGTGGCGATGACTGCTGTTGCTGATTCGATTTAAAAGTCGGTGAAGTATATTGTGAAAGATTTGTGGGTATTGTTGGATTTTGTTTGCGTTTGTTCATGGCCACGGTAACCGTTGTTTGCCATGGCTGCAATGCAGCGAAAAGCTGATCGTTTATACTGGTCTCTATAGACAAATCTAGAAATTGTATTGTCCAATTAAAGGTGGTCTTTGTGTTCAGCGGCGGATTCACCTTTAAACGCAAACTAGAACGTGTAATATACTCGGCGAATGAGGATTTCAAAACTATACGGGGTAAAGTAAAACGTGTATAGTCCACGACTTTATCCTTAGACAAGTATTTGTGATTTGTTATGTCCATTTGACTTTGTGCTATTTCCATGTAAATTATAATCGTATTAAATTGTTTGAAATAATTTTTAATTTTTTCTTCATCCGTCTCTTTGTTTTCCTTAGGAGTGCTGTCGGCTTTGATTTCTTCGGTTAAAAGAGGATCCGTTGTTGTGTATTCGATTCGTTCATCCTTTTCCGAGCTACAGTGTATTGTCTCTTCCGGATGGGATATTTTTCGCAGAGAATTTGAATTGCGTGATGATTTTCTACCAAATACCTGTGGCATAGAAGGATTTGTTTGATATGCTGTTGAATGGGCTGAACTGGTGTGTTGACTGCTAGGAACGGGAGGATTTTGAACTGTTTGGCTTTGTAATTCAGTTTCGACAGAGAACTCTAAAAAAATAAAAAAACAATATGGGTAATTTTATTAGCAATCAGACATTTTAATCGATTTACCTCTACTGAAGCGTTCATCTTCTTTGCAAAGTAATGAAAGAAAATCCAATAACTGTTTATTGCAATTCAGATAGAACTTTTCCATCCATATGCCAATTGCCATTTTATCAGCTTCTTTCGTTTCTCTTTTTCCAGCTTTCGTTTCTCCAGAGAGTCCGGGGTATTGTATGTGGATTTCCAGCCATTTACTTTGGTTGTTGTGAATCTTAGCTGTCGTATTGAATATGTTATAACGTTGCAACTGAACAGATTTTCTTTCCAATAATACATCAGAATTCACGGCTTGCAAATGAGCATTCCATATGTCAAAGGTGTGATAGAAACGTCGTTTAACTTGTAGTTTGCTAAATAAACAACTCAATGCTGTGGAATCTGCCATTTCGTATGGATGATTCAAAATTGTCGATATTTTAATCAATAACTCTGGACGATATCTCCACAGGCTGTCATACAAATACAGTAAAGCAAATAACTCTCTTTTTGAAAATTCCATTTTAATATGATCACATTGTAAATCTAATTTTTTAATGGAAACTTCATCGGTTTTCCAATGTTGCGGTTGCAATAATTTGCCATAGCTCATATTTAGTTTAGGTATAGTTATTAGACGTATGGATGTGTCCTTGGAAGGCGCCATTAGACTCAGTGTTAAGTCCATAACATTCAGTTCATAATTATCATAACAGGCGTTGAGTAGTTCCTGGGGTTTATCTGGTAGTTGACATGTTGTATGTACTAATTTGTCTGGATTTATAGGCGTGGTTAGATTAACTTCAATTAAATCAAAATTTACCAAAAGAAAAGGCAGGGAATTTTTAATAGCTGACGGTAAACGCCTGTGTGGTCGATTGCTTTGCAGGGGTGCTTCTGTTTTGGCAAATATTTCCACTTGCATATATTTCAAATCTATTTTATATCTACACAAAGGCACACCCTGCATGAGGGCATCATAGTCCTCTACCAAGGGAGGATGTAGTTTTGGTGAACCATCTGTGACACTCTGACTTCGCCCACCACCACCACCACCAATATGCGTTTCTGAAGGTTCATTACATGCCGTAGCCAAATCTTGATGGTATGTTGCTATAGCCTTTGATTTGGCTGTTGTACTTGTATCATGTATTTCGATTTTCTCTGCATTTGATGAATATGCAATTGATGAATCATATAAATCTATGAAATGTTGTATTATATTTTTAACCTGCATAAATGTTTCATTCAAACGAAATGTAATGCCCGAGGATAAGAGACGACATTGCTTGTGTATATCAGGGATTTTCATTCCACTAATATTTGCGGTAATATTGGCATCTTTAGATTCACAATATCCTGTTGGCGAGCGATATGTTATAATATCTAAAGCAAAGACAGGGCTACGAAAGATCAGATAGTCATCTGTGATGCGTGTAACATAGTCATCATAATTTGTGACACCCCAGCCACGATCTGCAATCATACACTGTTCATCGAACAGTGATTTGTCTATGAAGGAACGCATATTGGTATACTGAAAATTGTAACAACATAAACATTAACATTAATGATAAATATATTTTTATTGACTTACTGGTGACGTTTCCAACAATGCCAAGGATTCCGGTGTATCTTCGGTACGGTACTGACCCAAAGGTTCAACATATATCGAAGATAACCCGGCTTTGGTGCTGCACCAATCGATTTCTTTCACAGCCACGCGTTCAAAATACAAACCACCAAAAGTAAAACGTACAATTGGTGTATAACGGATACGCTTTATGCCTCCCATTATTGCATCATTAATGAATTCGGAATTTTTTAATGTAAAATTCAACTCTTCAATATAAATGCCCACATCTTTTGTATGTCCCGGGACATCATCACTGCCACTGTCAACTTCATCGGGTTCTTCGAACGTAAAACTGGGTAATAAGTTCCATGCCCATGATAAATATGATGATCCTGATGTGTCCGTTGCTCTGTCGGCAACACGTTCCTTATTCGAGCAACACAAATCATCGTCCGTACTGCTGTCTCCTGATAATGACGTAAGGAATTTGATAAGGCGCATCAGCATTGGAATTTGCAATGAGGACAAATTTAAATCAAGGGCCTGTGTAAAAATTCCTATACGTGTTATACTACTGGTAGCTAGGGAGCTACTGTTGTATTTGCGCAGAAATCGTATCTCTAAAGTGCATCTTAATAAAGTTAAATCAACATTATTAATGTTTTCCGAAACAGGTACTTCACATACTTACCTATACAAGACCGGTTCCTGGCAAACATCAATTTGGCCAGCAGAATTTCGTTTGTCCAAACATATGGTCAAGTCGGAGATATTAATTAGTTTTCGCATTAACACTTTATGCGGATTGACATCAACCATGGCTGGCTGCCATAGCTCATTGGCCGGACAATAGCTCAAGTATTGCACATTCATTGAGACCACAATATCCTCTTCAACATATTTCAATATAATATTCTGGCACTGCACATTGATATTATTGACAATTTTCATGGCCAAGCCAGAGCTCATGCTTGATGTTTCATCATCTTTACGTTCTGCCTTTGCTGCACCCTCCATCACACTGGTGTGTTGGGGAGAATTTCCAGCTGATGATTTGGCACCATGTTCTTCTGTTTTGGCCTTCAGAACAAATTCTATGGTGTTGATGAGTACCTTGATGGGTTCCGAAGTTATCTTTGTCCATGGCACCTGTATGACCAACTCATGTATATGTCCCGACAGAAATTCAAAGGGCAAACTCAATTCTTGTTCCAAAACATCTAAACGCAAATCTAGATTTTGGAATGTAACTTCGCCCTCCCACAAAGACACTTGAAAATCTTGCGGTCGTATATTTTTAACATATTTCGCCAAGTAATTTAGAATAATTGGTGTTATATAGGATTCAATCTTGAACATTATGAAATTTGTATTTTTTTGCAATTGTTAAAATTTTACATGATTATTTTAAAAATATTTAATTTGCTCAATTTTTCCCTTGTAGACACAGACACGTCAAATAAAAACGACAATCAGATACGGATTGACACATACATGCTTAGAAAAATAAGGAATAATGAAATGTTCGATAAATATCAGTAATCAAAACAAAACCGAAATAATCACAACAAAACCAAAGATAAGGGTTACGAAGATCGACTTCGGTTTATAAAATAACCTATTATTGCCATACTATTTATGAAAACGCCCAAAAGTTACCAAGCCTCCGTTTACAAATGTTCTCTTCCAGAACATGAACGAATCTAAAATATTACTAAGATAACAGCTTTTTCATGATATCGGAAAAAATTACAAAGCTTGATTACAGCAAGTTCAGGAAAAAAACAAGAATACTTATGGGTACCGAAGTTATCTTTGTCCATGGCACCGGTATGACCAACTCATGTATATGTCCCGATAGAAATTCAAATGACAAACTCAAGCTGCAAATACATAAAGAGCTTGAAGTCATGGCTAGGCATATTAATGTCAAATTATAATGGAAAACGACGGCAGGATTTTAGTGCGGCTCTGTAATCCCTTTATGAAACGTCACAAAACATGCCTAGCCATGACTCCAAGCTTCTTATGTACTTAGCCTTTCAACTCTTGTTCCAAAACATGTAAACGCAAATCTAGATATTGGAATGTTACTTCACCCTCCAACAGAGATTCTTGAAAATCTTGCGGTCGTATATTTTTAATATGTTTCGCCAAGTAATTTAAAATAATTGGTGTAATATAAGATTCAATCTTAAACATTATTAAATTTGTATTTTTTTGCAATTGTTAAGATTTCACATGATTATTTTATTATTGATGAGAAAACAAACACAAGGAGTCGAGTGTATCGAAGCAAAACGTCTGCCAGTGTTTGTTGTTTCATCGGTAACAATTAAAGGTGTATGTACATAAGAAGCTTGAAGTCATGGCTAGGCATATTTTGTGAAATTTCGTAAAGTGATTACAGAGCCGCACTAAAATCCTGCCGTCGTTTTCCATTATAATTTGAGATAATATGCCCAGCCATGACTTCAAGCTTTTTATGTACTTGCACCTTAATGCGTAAAACGAGTCAACCGCAGAATTCTGTATATATATTTAAAGCATTGGCAGAAAAAATAGTTGCACGTTATTGCCTGTCAAGCGTCGTCAATATAACGACATCCAGAAAGAATATTTCAGAGTTAATAGTGCAGTCTCCCTTCTTGAATCATGCGTTTTTATATATATTATAATTATTAAGCCTAACAATTTTGCAACAACAAAATATTGCGGTAACCCGAACAAACATGCCAACACTGTTCCATATTATAATTCTTTTTTTTTTAATATACGTGTTTGGCCATTGTCCAATGGTATAATAAATAGGTATTACAGAGCTAATAACCGGCTGATTGTATTTTTCTAAGTATTGACGACTTCTTGTTAAATTGTTTATAAATTCTTTTTTGGAATAATAGGAAGATAAAATTGTTACTTTAAATTATCGTGCGAACATGAAATTACCTTCACAAAAGTATCGCCGAACGTTTCTAACACAGTCACACTGTACTTTAAGCCATCGACGCCGTTTGACTGATGTCGACATACAAAAAGAGTGGCTTCGGTCTCTGGACCTCACCATTTAACAAGTTTTTTCTTTGTATTCTTTGTAAATTGAACGAATACCAAACCAATCCTGAATAAAAACCAATAAAAATGCTGGTTATATGAATTGTGGTGAAATAGAAAAAAATAAATAACCATCTCTAAGTTCCATAATTGGAAGTTCTCTTACATTGGTGCCGTAAATCGAAAGGAAGGAAAAATTGAAAAAATCGATCAACTTGTCCATTTTTTCGTTTGTTGGATCTCAGAAAAAACATCATTAGACTTGTATTGGGGACACTGGGATAATGGAGAACCAATTAAGCAGAAATAGTTGATAGTTCATCGTCGTCGTTTCTTACGCAGAATCCCTTCCGTGCATCGGCATCATTTACGAGATTCATAGGGGCGCATCGGCAGGCGGAACACATACAACACCAACACAATTCACATAACATACACCTTCAAGACTATTGGAGCGATAAAGGATCATATAATATTAACAGCAACAACAACACTACGAAACAGGCTAAGTAGTAAAAGTTAAAAAACAACCAAAATATAGGTCGGATCTCATTACAATAATAATCATAAATAATCGCAACTACTACAACAGCTTTAACATATAGGAAAATATGGTGGGTTCTAAAGCACAACAGCAACAACTTCAACAGCCAAGTACTCAGCAATCTAGTAGCAAACATCATCACCTTCATCACACAGCACAGACTGTAACTCAAACAGCAGCTAAACATAGCCATCATCATGCCGCTGCGTCACCCGCAACATCTGTCAATTCACCGTCATCACTATCGACCACCAGTAGCAACAAAGACACATTAAATGGCACAATAGGTGGTGGCGCTGGCAGCATGGTTGAGAATCCATCAAACCAAATGTATTCTTCACCCAGGAGTGTGAACAGCAGCAGTATTAGTAGCTGCTTCAGAAATAATAGCATCAACAAAATTAGTATAAATCCATTTCATTCACTTATTGGATCGCACCCATCCGTTTCATCGTCATCGACATCCATTGCTTTTGATGCGAACATAAACACTGCCTTATTAAGCAAACAAAAATATGCCCAAAATGATTACAGGAACAAACAACCACAGAAATCCCAGCCGCCAGCAACGTATGATGGTGATAAAGCGGATGGTGCCATCAAATCCAAGGAAAGCCAATCGTCATTGTCGTCGTCAAACACCACACAGAACACAACATTTCCCACTCACTACAGCAGCAGCACAACAAAAGAATTGCTAAAGAATACAAATTCAAAATCAATACCCACAAATACTCCAACAAAACCAGCCTCTGCCAATAAACATATAACGAAGACCACAGCCGCGGAACCTGCGAATGCAGAAGCATCACCCACGCATACCAACGGTGGTGATATTCAGGCCAAATCCGTAAGCAACGCCTTAGTTCCCCTTACAGCCACTCAAAATAGTCTATTCTCATTCCACGAACAAATCCTTATGTCTGGCCAGCAAAAGAGCGCCTTGGCCGAAAAGCCCAAGCCCTTGATAGTGTCACCGCAGCAGGTCATGGTGCTATACATGCACAAATTAACGCCCTATGAACGCACAGAAATATTGGCGTACCCGCAAATTTATTTCATTGGCGCCAATGCCAAGAAGCGCCCCGGCATTTTTGGTCCCAATAACTGTGATTATGACAATGAGCAAGGTGCCTACATTCATATACCCCATGACCATGTGGCATACCGCTATGAAATGCTCAAGGTTATCGGTAAAGGCAGCTTTGGTCAGGTTATCAAGGCGTATGATCATAAAACACACGAGCATGTGGCTCTTAAAATGGTGCGCAACGAAAAACGTTTCCATCGCCAGGCACAGGAAGAGATTCGTATACTACATCATCTTCGGCGTCAAGACAAATACAACACCATGAACATTATCCATATGTATGACTACTTCACTTTTAGGAATCACATGTGCATCACCTTCGAGCTGCTAAACATAAATCTGTACGAGCTAATCAAGAAGAATGGTTTTAAAGGATTCTCCTTACAGTTGATGCGCAAATTTGCCCACTCTTTACTGCAGTGTCTGGATGTTTTATACAAAAATGAGATTATCCATTGTGACATGAAGCCCGAAAATGTTTTGTTGAAGCAGCAGGGACGTTCCGGCATAAAGGTCATTGACTTCGGGTCATCCTGCTATGAAAGTCAACGCGTGTACACATATATACAATCGCGGTTTTATAGGGCCCCAGAGGTTATTTTGGGGGCAAAATATGGGCGACCTATCGACATGTGGTCATTGGGTTGCATCCTGGCTGAATTATTATCGGGACGTGCTTTATTCCCAGGCGAAAACGAAGCAGATCAACTGGCCTGCATTTTGGAAGTTTTGGGTATGCCACCCAAGCATTTATTGGCCAATTCAAAACGTGCCAAAATGTTCTTCAACTCTGAGGGATATCCACGTTATTGCACTGTTCGCAATATGTCAGATGGAACTGTGGTTCTTGTTGGAGGACAGTCTCGTAGGGGCAAGCCCCGGGGACCACCTGGCTCCAAGAGTTTATCAAAAGCCTTGGATGGTTGTAATGATCCATTGTTTTTGAATTTCATAAGAGGTTGCTTAGAATGGGATCCAGAAAAGCGTTTAACCCCAGCTGAGGCATTGAAACATCCTTGGCTGCGTAGACGACTGCCTAAACCTCCAAGTAGCCATCCCAATGCCATAAGCGGTAGTAGTGGTGCCGGTAGTACTTGTGATGAGAAATCTCCAATTAGCGCAAATCCGAGCAGTGATAGCGGCAGAGCCAGTGGCTCCTCTGCCAATACGGATATTCGAAAAATTAGCCATACTAAAGACTGCTTAGCCACACTCACCGCCATTGGCACCGTGGGGCCCTTGGTGTCATCATTAATCTCATCTCAACAACAATCCACAGACTCCCTGTGGGGCCATCAAACTTCGAGTACATCTCACCAAAACGATGCAGGAACTAGAACTTATAGTAAACTATCAACCACCTCCGAATTTTTGGGTGCGTATCCGGATTCCAACTTAATCCTACTATCATCAGCATCGAACAGCAACACTCAACAGAGACGTGGCAGTGACAGTCACTCCCTCTCTTCCAAGGTAGCATCTAAGCAAACTGATGAATAAATCAATCAATTGGTAGAACAGATAAAAAAAACCAAGAAGATACAGAACAAAAGCAACGATTTTCTGTGTGCGTGTGTGTTTTAGCAGCAACTCGTGTGTCGTATTTAGTTTAACTTAACGTCGTATGTACAGTATTTAGTTTGTTATTATTATAAGTCTGAAATTGTTCATTCGAATTAGTGTGTTCATATAGATTAAAAATATTATGAATGTCGTCGTCGTATGATTTATTATAGTTATTACATATTAATAATAATAATAATTTTCATTAATAAATATCCACTAATTCTGGAAAGCCTTTCAATTGCAAGACAATTTGTATGTTTTGTTTTCAATAGAAATTAAGAAAAGAATAGCGCGTGCGAGAAACATCAAAAAACATTTTGTATTCATTAAAAATTAATGTTATAACTAGATTACGAGTTCTACACCGTATTTAATTGAAACAAGAAAAAGCTTTTGAATTTAAAACATTTATGATTTACTTTAATAAATCGGCTAATTATAATTTTTTAAAAAAAATATATATATTGTGTTTTTGTTACACATTTCGTATAGTTGGTAATGTTAAATATATTTTTTAATGGGAATTAAAATCTATGAAAAAATTAGTGAATTATTTTAAGCTCGTGTGTGTGTGTGTATAGCCAATTATCTATTAGAGAATACCAAAAATATCGAATATGGCACTGCAATATTGATGAGGACCTTCATAGGCAATTTTCTGTTATAGAAAGTGGTGCCCATTACAAACTCTAAATACCAAGATATAAATCATCGAAATACCGAATATCGTTAGGTACAGTTATATGGGGTCTATACGAAAATGTTTGCCTATATAGAGAATTGTCAAATCCAAATACCAAATTTAAATTGCAATTCTTTTTCATCCAAAAACAGAAACATTTGTTCTTCCTAAAAGCTGTAATATGTACTTAAATTTCAGCAGAATTTTAATTTTGACATTACAAGACTACCAAAAGAGAAAAAATGTTATTTAAGTGATTTGTCCCACCTTGTATAGTGTATAGGGGCTATACGAAGCCGTAGATCTCCATAGCCAATTTTCTACCACAGAATGGAGGACTCAGTAGAGCCTCAAGTTTCGGGTTTTAAAAAATTCCAGTTGAAAATGTGGCTTAAATCGCAAAAACACCGAATATCGGGAGGTACAGTTATATGGAGGTTATTCGAAGGCGTTATATGGCGAATGCATCAAAATTTGGGCCTATATAGACAGATCTTTGCAAGGATATTTCCTACATACTGTGTACACAGAATGCCATTTTACCGCAAATTCTGTTTAAAATTGTAACAAAAAGATATATGGGGGCTATACAAAATAGTGGACATATATGGGCCATTTACAATAATAAAATACATCTCAGTAGAGTTTTATAACCTTCTTTGTTTCGTTCGGAAGCTAGAGTGCTTATCATATGTTCTGTTCCAGAACTAGCAAGAATCTACTAGTTTTGCATTTCCTCCGATTTCATAAAGGGAAAATCAGTTATCGTAGTATAAATTGTAATTCTTGCAGTTCTGGAACATACCTATACTTTGTATATTTCGAAGTGTTACAAACGGTATGAAAAACTTAACATACCTTCCATACTATGGTATATGGGTTAAATTGTAAGATATCAATATCGGTCTAATCTTGCTATTAAATAGGCACAAAATCTCCTGGAAGTAAATTATTATTAATCCGTCGAATCTGGGTATTTTCCAGCTGATGAGTTAAATAAATTTATATTTCTAATTCAGAAACACACCTAATATTTATTTTGACACATGGCAGAAGAATGCAGGTAGATGCATGAACTATTGGGAACATTGATACGTCAAAAACTACAAATTTTTTAAATGTTTTTTTTTTTTTTCAAAATGAGCAGATTTTTATGTTTTCTTGTACGATGGTTTTTTCAACAATTTTTACCAATTTCAGTAATTTTTCATTAAACATTTTTAACTCCAAAATCGGTGACTACCTGTATTCTAACGTGCTTTGACAGCAAATATCATAATCAGCTGGACATTTGATATCATCCACACGGTGCTATGAAATAAGAAGAAGTGTAAATAAAAATACTATTCCTGACAATGGTAGAAGAATGTATGTAGTCGCATCGACACATCTGCGGGACAATGGACTGTCAAACCGATTTTAGAATTAAAAATGTTTAAAGAAAAATTATTGAAATTTGTAAAAAATGTTGAAAAAAGCTGCGTATAAGAAAACATATAAAAATCTACTTATTTTTGAAAAACAAAAAACATTTAAAAATTTTTGACACATAAATGTTTACAAGCGGTGATGCATCTACCTGTATTATTCTACCATTTTCCTAACCTAACGTAGGCAAAGTTTGCGTGTCAACCAAATTTGTTTTGGTTTTGTGTTTTCTTTTTCTTAAATAATTATTTTTTGCTGGTCAAAAAAATTCAGAATGCCTCAAACATTGGACAAAAAAGATGATTTTGGTAATAGCTTTACAATAAAAAAATGATTATATGGCCTAACTCATTGATTATTTGCTTTAGATGTGGTGAAATATTTCCTTAAACTTTTGGACGATGACAAGGATTTGTCTTCCGGCATAGCTGCTATCAAGACATTATTGATGATTTTGGAAAAGAAGCAATGTAAGTTTTAGGGCAAAAATAAAAATACATGTCATGCAATGTTTTATTTGAACATATCATTCAGTTGGAACTATTCACATTTTGCAAAATACCATGTTGGAAGCTGTGGCCGCTATGCGCAATACCGATTTGTCAATTGCAGCAGTTGTGTCCGGCGGTGAATTGTTTTGTCGCTTTATCACTTTGAGTTTGGATGATCGCGGCATGGAAGAATGTCGTGAAATTATGTTGCATCGTGGGAAAATATTTTTAGCCAAACTTTTAAATTCTCGTAACGTTATTGCTCAACAAGCTCAAAGATTTATAACTGATGGCTGTCGTGTATTGACACATTCAAGATCTCGCGTTGTCTTGAAGGCTTTGGTAACGGCTGCCAAAGCTAACAAGCAATTTCATGTTTTTGTTACCCAGGGAGGTCCAGACAATTCAGGGTAGGTTTGTAAATATATTGAACAAACAATAATTTAATAATTGTTATTTTCTTAGGGAACAAATGATAGCGGATTTGGAACGCGCTGGCATAGATTGTACCCTAATTTTAGACTCAGCCACCGGTTATGTTATGGAATCAGTTGACTTTGTAATGGTGGGTGCCGAAGCAGTGGTAGAGTCGGGTGGTATCATTAATCGCATTGGTAGCTTTACCATGGGCCTTTGTGCCCAAGAAATGAAGAAACCATTCTATGTGCTAGCGGAAAGTTTCAAGTTCACTAGATTATATCCACTAAATCAAAGAGATTTGCCAGATGAATATAAGGTAGGCGAAATTGTTTTAGATGTTTTTATAAAAATAATAACAAACAATATTTTCACAGTATTCTCGCAAACATTTGAGCGATGTTTCAAAGGTCCATCCCCTGGTTGACTATACGCCTCCAGCATATATCACATTGCTCTTTACCGATTTGGGCATTTTGACACCATCTGCTGTAAGTGATGAGTTAATAAAACTGTATATGTAAGCTTAGTCCCGCCTTTATTACATTTTATAAAATAAAAAAAGTTGATCTACAAATAAAGGTATTTTGTATTATTAACGCTATGTGAAACACAAAAAAGATAAATTAATTTTGGGAAGTTATGCGCAGAGATATATGTAACTAATTGTCGCTATCAACATCGTCATCATTCGTATCAGAGTCTGTTGTGTACTCTTCGTATGCATCGTCATCATCATCATCCAAATAATCATCGTCATCAGCATCAAATTCCGCAGCCGCCTTAAAATGATAATTATTAATAAATATACTTTGATTTTATGCACATTTTCGGTGGTATTGTTACAATGTTACCTACCACTTGACCAGACTGGAAGTTAATTTCAATTTGCAATCTTATGTCCATAATTAAAAAAGCTGTTGTCACCAAAACTGGAATTGTCATACGACTTTTCCAAGCTAAGTTGGTTAGAAACATAAATATTTCACCAAACGATGAATTCATTGTGCTGCTGCAGATGGTTGAGGAGGCGTGTAATGTATATTTCTATCGACTTGCTGGTAATTCTCCGTTTTCTTCGGCGTCAGCCTCCAAACGCTGTTCCTCCAATTGATCGTACTTAACAATATGTACAGTTTCACCGACAGTTACAGCCTGAACTGGTTGTATTTGACGATATAAATTATGTACTGCAGAATCGGAATTAATGCTTGCTTCTAATTCCAGGAGCAAATCATTGTTTGAATTGCTTCCAGACAAATCACCTTGAATTAGAGATCGTAAACAATCGCTACGTTTTTCCGACAAAGCTTCAACAAGTTTTGAATTCTTTTTTAATTTGTCCAATTTTCGTTCTAGAAAAATAAAAATAAATATAAGAAAGTAATGAAGATAAATGTAGAGAAAACAGGAGTAGTAATAAATCATAAATGTATGGTGATCATCGTGCCAAATTTCATGTTTTACTACATGATGGTATAAATTTATTTCACTGCTTAATAATCCTCTATGTTAAGCCTGGATTAAAGTTCAAGGTGATCTATGATGACCTATCTATAAAAAATAAAATCTTCAATATTCCTACAAATCTTTCTTGAAAACTTACCCAATCCTTTCAAATAGGTTTGCGAATCTGGCAGCGGTTGGTGTTCAGGTTTATTATGCGATTTATTTGTGTTTTCTGGTCTCTTCTTATCACTGCTGCAATTATTATTTTCAGCTCCAATAAAACTATCCTCAAATCCCAAAGCTGAGTTTGCTGTTTCCGTAGAATTGTTGATTTCGTCTGTTAATTTTCCGTTGGTGGCAGAGTTAGAATGTTCTGGATGTTGGACCTGGACCTTCCAAGGGTCTAAATCGGTCATTGTTTATGCAAAATGAGATGCAGTTGTATTTTATTTTTGTTTTTTTTTTTTCTTTCCGAAATAGTTTGATGCAGCTATTCACTCTGAGGAGGCTATGAACTAGTGCCATTGTTTATTATCGTCATTCGGGTTGTGATATTAATTCATGATGAAATTCGTATACATAATAAGAAGAAGCATTATCGTTCCGAAATAGTTCGATGCAGCAATTCACTCTGAGAAAGCTATGAACTAGTTCCATTTTTTATTATCGTCATTTGGGTTGTGATATCAATTCACGATGAAATTCGTAAACATAATAAGAAGAAACATTCATAAGCCACATTTTTAAAAAACGTAAACATTTCATAAAAATCGAAAGAATAGCTGATATCTTTGTAATAATGGTTACCAATGATACAAAAGGACATAACGATGCAAACACAAATCGTGATGTTAAAATACGTTCTTTAAACTGTGAACTAAATCCTCTGACACGCACAGATGGATCAGCTCTCTTTGCTCAGGGTGGAACATGTGTAATGGCTTCGATATTGGGACCCGTGGAAGTAAAATTACAAAATTTAAATATTGACAAAGCCTATGTCGAGTGCATTTATAGGCCAAAGGCCGGTTTACCCACGATTAGGGATAGAATGCGTGAAACTGTTATTAAAGATACATGCGAAGCGGCTTTGCTATCAGCCATGCATCCCCGGACAATGGTATCAGTCCAAGTACAAGAGCTAGACGACAGAGGAGGCGTAAGTCATACCAATTGAACCCCTACGAATACTAAAACTAATAGTTTTTTATTATTTAGTTGGATGCCTGCGCCATTAATGCCGCATGTATGGCTCTGCTGATAGGCGGCATACCCATGAAATTTACTGTAGCTGCAGTTTGCTGTATTGTCGATAAAAATGGAGAGTTAATATTGGATCCAGATTATGGACAGATAAACGATAGCCGTGCCAATTTCACATTTGTTTTCGATTCCTTGGAACGGGATCTTGTAACAGTCAATAGCACCGGATGTTTTAAAATGGCACAATTTAATGATGCCTACCTTATGTGTCGTGCAGCCAGTGGAGTTATATTTGATTTCTATAGAAAAATAATGACTAAATTCCACACCAAAACAAATCTCACGCCGACGTCGCCAAAAGAAGGCAAAGAGGCAATGGAAGATTAGAATTGAAAATAAAAATATATTTCTTATATTCTAAAACAAAAACAAACAATTTTATTATATTTACACTTTAGCATGGTAGTCTAATATAGAACTAAGGTATAAAGGCTCTCCTTTCAAAACTTGTGAATTCGATTCATTTATGTGAGCCACCACATAATCGCCAATTGTTATTTTTCGTCTTTCGGTACCATGGACCGGCCCTAAGGATAATTCTTTTATTGGAACTATTACTTTGATGTTTGCATCATTTCTACCAAAAACAAAGTCTTCGGATCTCTTACTTATACCTTCTATTAGAATAAGTTCTTTTCGTCCTTCATAATGTTTGTGTAATGCTGTAGCACCCTGTCGGAAAGCTTTTACCATTCTTTGCAGACGGTTGGTTTTTACATCCGCCGGGACATCATCTTTATATCTGCGATGAGCGGTGGTTTTTTCTCTCATGCTGTATGCAAACAAAAACGCAACATTGTAGCGTACTTTTTCTATTAGCGTTACAGTATCTTGAAATTCATCTTCAGTTTCTCCGCAAAAACCACATATGAAATCACTGGAAAGTCCAACATGGGGAATATATGATCGTATGGTATCGACTAGCTGTAAATATGCCTCTCTTGTATAGCCTCTACGCATGCGTTCCAAAACACTATTGGAACCGGATTGCGCGGGAAGGTGGAGATTTTTACATACGTTTGGGTAATCACGTATAATTCTTAAAACATCTTCAGAAAAATCTTTGGGATGTGGCGATGTAAAACGTATACGCACGTCTGGAACAGTTTCAGCTATCTCTTGAAGTAACACCGAAAACGGCAGTCCTCCCTTTTTGGGTTTATATACGGTCTTAAAACCGGGGGCAGTGGATACATCAGATGCTACTTCCTTGGATGTATCTCTATAGCTATTAACATTTTGACCCAGAAGGGTGACCTCTTTAATGCCATTATCCCTTAATGACAAGACCTCTTGTTTTATTGACTCAATTGCTCTCGATCGTTCCCTACCTCTGGTGAAGGGTACAATACAATATGTGCACATATTATCACAGCCTCGCATAATAGAAACAAATGCCGTAGGTGAGTCCGTATTCAATCTTACAGGCATTACATCTGCATATGTCTCATCTAAGCTCAACAATACATTGATGGCTGATTGCTGGTAATGTCTAGATATGGCTAGTAAACGGGGAAGATCTTTATAACTATCTGGACCAGCTACTACATCCACATTTTTCTCCTTTTCCAATAGCTGTTGTTTTAAACGTTCTGCCATACAACCCAGTACTGTAATTTGCAGCGGCCCTTTTTTCGATGATCGTTTTTCCTTCATGGATTTTAAGTGATTTAAGCGATTCCATATTTTTGTTTCAGCTCCTTCTCTTACTGCACACGTGACAATCATTATTACATCGGCATCCTTAATGTCGCTGCATTTGTTGTAGCCATTTGATTCCAATATCGCCAAAACAACTTCAGTGTCGTTTGTATTCATTTGACAGCCATAAACTTCGAAGAATACTTTGCGTCCATTGCCACTATAACTCTCAATTGGTAGATATGGTATAATATTTTCTTCAGGAACTTCTTGTAGCTTTAGCTTTGAAACTCCTTTGACATTGAAAAATTCCTGCAATCCCGGTCCTGATGAAACACGCTCAATGAATGTTTTCCGTTCTAACGTTTTGGCATTTGTATTTGGTGCGGCTACTGTGCTGTAGGTGTTCGCTTGTGAAGATAATGTCCTTATACTTCTACCACTACCACACCAAGTCAATATTCGTTGCACTTTCATTTTATTTAACAAATATATCAAAAAAGATTTGGTTGGTGGAAATTATACAATAAACCTAACAATTCGGGCAATTAGCTTTCGTTCAAGAACAAAGTATTCACATAATGGAACTATAAAAGTACCTACGTACTTTGATAGCATTACCTAAGATTCGACGTACCGTATACAAAAAATGTGAATGTTTGTGATTTGAAAATAAAATAATTGAAGAATTTTAAAAATTAACAGTTTTTACAACTTTAACAGTTTTTAGATTTTAAAATATGGACCTTGTGTATTTGGGTAGTACGGACGTACAAAACATTTTACCACCGTGGGAAGTTGAATATTTGCATACGCTACGTCGAATTTTAGGTAACGCTGCAAAATAACTCAATATTTGACCCGCAGTTCATTTCAGTGAATTTGTACATTAAAGCAGTTCGTTCCGGAACGAGAAAATTGGAAAATGAAATAGATTAGATGGTATCGGCTCGGCATTTCAATTGAATTGGTTTCTTTAGTATCATAAAAATAGTGAAATGTTGTAATTGCTATCGACAAATAAACAACAATGATAAGAGTACGTCGTCGCTTTGCTATTATGCTATGTGGCATATCTGTGGCAATATTTTTGACTGTATACTTTATGATTAATTATGCGGCTCCACAGGAGGACAAAAAACCAAATTTTATGGCTTTGGAAGCCCAACATGAATACAACAAACAAGTCCTGCAAAAACCTGACATGGGCATTGAATATGGCCCGAAAAATAGGAACGCCGGTCAAGATGACACGTCGAGACAGTCGGAAAATAACATAAACAAACTCGGTGAAAGTGGAGGCAAAAAGTCAGAGACTTTTGCGAAGGAGTCTGAAAATGTCGTCAAGGAGAAAAATAATTTGGAAGAAAATTTGGTAGCACGAGATGAAACTTGTGAATTTGATCCTCAGCAAGTGCCACAGCCTGATATACAAATGTTAGATATGTATGGAAAAATGTCTTTTGAAGACATTGATGGTGGCGTATGGAAGCAGGGATGGAATATTAAATATGATCCCATGCAGTACAACGACCATCACAAATTAAAAGTTTTTGTTGTGCCCCATTCACACAATGACCCGGGCTGGATTAAGACATTTGATGATTACTATGACCATGAAACGAAACATATTCTTTCAAATGCTCTAAGGCATTTACGTGAAAATCCTGACATGAAATTTATTTGGGCAGAAATATCATATTTTTCGCGTTTTTATGAGGATCTGGGTGAAAACAATAAGATGGAGGTCAAAAAGTATGTACCTATATCCATCCTCTGGCGGTCAAGAAAAATAATTTTCCTCTTTCTAATTAATTAAACTAATTACATTTTTCCCTTTTAGATTGGTCCAGAACGGTCAATTGGAATTTGTGTCCGGTGGATGGGTTATGCCAGACGAGGCCAATGCACATTGGCACAATATGTTACTTCAGTTGACGGAGGGCCAACATTGGCTTAAGAAATTTCTAAATGTTACACCCATATCGTCTTGGGCAATTGATCCATTTGGCCATAGTCCCTCAATGCCTTATATCTTGAAAAAGTCTGGATTTGAAAATGCATTAATACAACGCACACATTATTCGGTTAAAAAAGAGTTGGCTTTGAAACGTAACTTGGAATTCTATTGGCGACAATTGTGGGGTAAGTTTCTTTAAATCAGAACATATATTTATTCCTTTTTAATTCGCTGATTTTATTTAGATGATTCTGGTGAAACTGAACTTTTTACCCACATGATGCCATTCTACTCTTATGACATACCGCATTCTTGTGGTCCGGATCCAAAAATTTGCTGTCAATTTGATTTTAAGCGTGTACCGGGTTTTGGTCTAAGTTGTCCATGGCGAGTGCCCCCAAAAAATATTGTCGATCATAATGTGGCAGAAAGGTAAAGAAACAGACAAATATACAAATATATCCAATAATACATAACTAAATCTTTCTTAGAGCTGAACTTCTTGTGGACCAATGGAAGAAGAAAGCAGAACTGTATCGCACAAATGTCTTACTATTTCCCCTGGGCGATGATTTTCGCTACAGCCAAAGCACCGAATGGGAAGTTCAACGCATGAACTATGAAAATCTGTTTACCCACATTAACTCAGAACGTAAATATTTTGTTGAGGCTAAATTTGGAACATTGCAGGAGTACTTTGACGCCGTACATGAGGAACAAAGGCAAAAACAACGAAGTTTTCCCACGCTAAGTGGAGATTTCTTTACCTATGCTGATCGTTCAGATAATTATTGGAGTGGTTACTTTACCTCACGTCCATATCATAAACGTATGGATAGAGTTTTGACCCATTACATACGTAGTGCAGAAATGCTAAGTGCTTGGCATAAATGGGATGATGGTGTCAAATTTGATGACATGCTACAGGATGCCAGGCGACAATTGTCATTATTTCAACATCATGATGGCATAACAGGAACTGCTAAAACTCACGTTGTAGAGGACTATGCTCAACGTATGTTGAATGCTGTAAAAATTTGTAAATTTATAATGCAACAATCTGTGTATAAACTGCTGACAAAGAAATCGGTATGAACATGCTTATAATGGCTTAGAAGTTGTTCCTAAAATGTTTGAATTCTTTCAGATTTATAATGCCGATACTAATTTTAATTATTTCCACATGGACGACTCCCGTTGGCCAGGACCTGATGATAGTCGGACCACCATCATTTTGGGTGAAGAATTGCCACAGAAACATTTAGTCCTGCACAATTCATTGCCACAATGGCGAGAGGAAATTATTGATTTCCATGTAGCTTCCCCATTTGTCAGTGTAGCGGATTCCAATAATAATCCCGTTGAAATTCAAATTTCACCCGTTTGGACATGGCATAAGGACACTTTCTCAAATACCATAACACCTCAGGCATCTACCACAAAATACCGTTTGATATTTAAGGCTAAAGTGCCGCCGTTAGGTCTATCCACATATGTGGTAAAGGCCGAAACTCCTGAATCTATTAATAAAAAGTGAGTATATTGAAAGCAATCTTTCTTAAATATTTGCTCTCCTTGGGACTCCGTCGAAATGGATGAACTGGGTAGCACTTTTCGCACTTTTTCCAGTTGTAATAATTGTTTATCTTTTTATTTTCAGCTATATCTCATTTGCTTCGAATCTCATATTGACGACGAATCCAATCACCACACAGCTGGGTGATTACCCGAAAGAAGTACAATTTGGTGAACACCGCGAAGTGTCGTTGAAAGTGGGATCCGGACCCACAGTGGCATTCAGCTCAGATGGCATGATGAAATCTATACAAATTAAAGAATTTGAATCTCATACCCCTGTAAGGGTACAATTCTTCAAATATGGTACTCGTATGAATGGTGATCGTTCGGGTGCTTATTTGTTCTTGCCAAATGGCCCAGCTTCTCCTATTGTTAATGCCCATACACCTGTGGTTTTGGTTACAAAAGGTCCGTTGGAATCAAGTGTTTCAGCTGGGCTAACATTTGGTACACACCATACGATTCTGCGAGAAGGCGAGCCACCAGAAATTCGCAATAATATTGATATTGTAGGTATGGATGATACCGAAGTTGTAATGCGTGTGCAAACTCGTTTACGCAGTGGAGATACATTTTACACCGATCTGAATGGCTTACAAATTATAAAACGTCAACGTTTCACAAAAATTCCCCTGCAAGCTAACTACTATCCGGTACCATCGGCTATATTCATAGAAGATGAATCGTTGCGTTTAACTGTGGTGTCAGCCCAACCATTGGGTGGTTCCTCACTGGCTCAAGGTGAAGTGGAAATAATGCAAGATCGGCGCTTGACACATGATGATGAACGTGGTGTGGGTCAAGGTGTACTAGATAATCGTCCAGTTTTACATATTTTCCGTATTCTTCTGGAACGCATTGATGGTTGTGAAAAACTTGCCGATAATCATCCAGCTGGTGCATTAACATTGGCCTCGTATCGTAATTCAAAATCTCTTTTAAATCCTTTTGATAAATTTATATTTGCTGAAAATGATTGGTTGGGTGTTCTGCCGGAATTTGGCACTACGCATGCTGCTTTGGGTGATGATATTGAAATTGTTGCAATGAGAAACTTGAATCTCAATAATAGTGTACCAGCCGTTGCACGTGATCGAAAACCTCGTACAACATTAAATACTGGCATTGTTCTGCATCGTACGAGTATTATGCAATGTTCAGGATTGGAGAGTAAAAACACCGGAGAGGTATGTTGAAGATTTCGTTTGTTTGATTTAATAGTTAACACAATATTTGGTTGTTTTCCTCTTTTAATATACCAAAGACGAATATTAAGTATTGTTGTTATGTTTTTGTATGACAAAAACGAAAGAAAACCACGATTCTAAATGTGTTTTCCAAAATGTTGGATGTTGGTTGAATTTGAAAAGATAGTAAAAATTTTTTTGGAATTGTGTTTTTCTTTTCGCTTTGTAATATTTAATTTATTTTTGCTTAAAAGAATAGTTATTATAAAATTTATTTTATCGATATTTTTCAATAATTCCAGTTAAATTTACATCATGCCCTGCAAATGGCCAATGTATCGACGGTTTATAAAACCACATTAACATTCCTTAAACGATTGTCTACACACCAATACGACGAGGAATTTTCTTTGTGTCCCATGGACACATTGGCATTTATATTACAAAGGCCCAGTTGATTTGATGACCTTGCATAGACACCACCAGACAATGGATATTTATACCATCTTTAATTAACATAGTGTTTCCTTTAACAAAAAAACAAACCAAAACTTTTTTTACTACTTTTAGAATTTCTTGGAAATTGTTTAGTTTATAATTTCTATTATATCGCAGATATATGGACTGAAGACAGCTTAATACAATATTTATATTATTTAAAGAAAACTTTAGCATTTTGAGTGACCGAAGAAAATTTTAATTTTTTTATTGAATAAATAACGACGAAGGATCAAATGTTTATAAAAAGGTTGTAAAATATGTTAAATGTAAAGAATCTTTTAATGAAACCAACATCTCTTTAGAATCTCATCTATATCGAATTTATGTAATATTCAAATTCCGTTGATATCTGAATATATACAACACATTCTTAGAGCAAATGGTGACGCGTTGAAATAACCCAAAGGATAATGTGTTTTATCGGATTTCCGCAATAGTTTGTATTGAGATTTAATGCTTTTTAATTTTTCCCCTTTCAATTTAAAGACCTAATTAGTTTTCTAGACAAGTGTTCAATAGTAAAAATTGTAGTTATAAGAACTGTCCAATATATCTATGATATACATTTGTGTCTTATTTTATTTAAATGTATGTAATTTATTGTTTTCGAGCACATAAATTTTGTGAAATTGTTTTCGAAAATTATTTTTATTTCTTATTTTAACTTTATTTTTATAAATTTTCCAATGTATAACAAAATAGAACATTTAATAGAAATGTTTTCATGACAAAAGTTACAATAAAATAAACAAAACAGAAATGTTCTTAAAGAAAATAGCATGCAAAATTATTTTATGAAAAGTGAGAAAATGAATATTTATTTCAGAACTTTGTAATATTTCCTATACACGTATATTAATGATATTATTGACTATTTTTTATGTAGAATCTCACAGCCTCAACACTTTCTAACATTAGAACACACTTAGAAGAGGTTTAAGTTAAGAAAAAGATTAAAATATATAGAATACGTTTTGTGTGGCACGATACTGTAACAATTTTCGGATACTGTAACACACAGAAAATTTCCCAAAAAGAGAGGGTGACTCCGCCTCCAATAAGATTTTCTGTGCCTAATTTCTGAACACATAAAATAAAGAAATACATTGTACAAAAATACTTACTATTCACAAAAACCAAAAGCTAAATCCAACTGACAACAAATTATATATTTAATTTTCTGTTGTCATCATCAATTGAAGCATAAATTACAATAATGATATTTACACAGTTTGGAAATGACAAAAATATATATTAAAACATTTCTGTGTATTTGAATAAATTTCAATAATCTCACATAATGTAACTTAGGCATTAGAAAATGAATAATTACATTAATAAATTCGATTTAAATAAAAATCGTAACAGTTTTCAGATATTAAAGCAAATATAATAAAATGTATTAATAAAAAAGAAAAGTATGGGAATTCTTTACCTGTTTATATTGAAGGTTACATGTTGTGGGATTGGGTTTTAACGCCATTTGGATAGCTCCCTCTCATGATGGTTGTAAAAGAACGTCTTAAAATTTTGCTATGGTTGAAAAAAAAAAAAAAAAAACAAATTACGTCATTGGAAGAAGTCGCAAAAGTTACCATAGTACCGTTATATAATAGCGATGCAAAAAACTTGGATCTATATTCTAGAGGGTTTCATATCCATTACAAATATCAAATATTAAAATATTCCATTTAAATAAAATCATAAAAATATGAAAAATCGAAAAAAGACGAACGGACCAATATAATCTGTTTGAATTTTTCTCGCTACAAAATTTTCAACTTTGATTAGCTATTTTTAAATAATAAAAATTTCAAAGTTTCAATAGAGGATATGAATATTTCGATTAAAAATTGTGAAAGTAATGCTAAAAGTTGAATCATTTAAAATTAATTTTTTAGCCACTTTTAAAAAAAAGGAAAATTTAAAATTTCCTTGGAAATACGCGTATTTTAGTTTAGAAGATGTTAACCCTCAAGCCAGACAAAAAAGCGGTCTTTTTGGTTCTTTTTTTATAAAAATGCCTAATTTTAATCCCATAATAAATTAAATGTCTGAATCTCACTTAAACGCCAGGAACTCGTAACTGCTAAAACCCATTTAAAATCCGGTTGAATCCGTGCTTCATGTGAGTTTACGCAACAATTTTCTACCAAACATCATTTAAGAAGGACAAGAAGTCTCCATTTCCAGTATGAATTATGACAATTTTAGCATTAATGTTGTCAAGAACCCCCAAAATATTTCCTAATTTTTTGATACATTTTTTTAACTTTTTTCAAGTTGCTGCATAAAAATAACCTTAAATTTCGTCTTACGTAGAATGTTTTTAGTTTTTAAGAATATTACATTTGGAATTTATATATTACTAGTGAAAATTATGTGTTTGCAATATACTGCCAATTTCACCCATTTCAAGTCAAAATCTCCCATGATACTTCAAAGGGAACAAGTTAAAAAGCAGTAAGTTCGGCGGGGCCGAACTTTGAATAACCTCCACCATTTGTAACAGATTAGGAAATTTTCAAAAAATAAATTCCTAAAAAATACCAAATTTTGGGGGTACCGTTATATGGGACCTATACGAAGACGTGGACCTGCACAGACAATTTTCTGTCTTAGGCTGTAGTATCCATTTCGAACTCCAAATACCAAATTTGAAACAATTCCGATGAATAATGTCGCTAAAGTCATAAAAATTCCGAATATCGGAAGGTACTTATATGTGGGGGCTATATGAAAACGTGGACCTACATGGCCCATTTACGAACTCAACCTGCCTACTGGAAAAATAAACATCCACTGTGCGTATGAGTAATTTTTTATTATATAACACTTATACGCAATAAAAAAAGTCCTTTTATTTAATCGAATACAACAAACCGTTTTTCAACTTTAAGCTTTAATCATACGTTAAATTGTCATTTAAACGTTATGAAATTTCCCCCTTTTCATTAGCGTTCAGCATTCTCTTTTAAAAGAGAATTTGAACAAGCATAAAAAGCTTTTATTGTTTTTTTTTGTTTTCTTTTGCAAAACAAAGGAAATGCGATGTAGGAGAGAATAAGCTTACGAAAGCTTATGTGCGAAAAATTAAATCTGTGTTACTGTGACAATTGATTCTTATTGTTGAGAGTTCTAGTAAGCTCATGGTATTATCCGTGAAATCACTGTCAAGCCATTACTCAACGAAATCAAGACATTCATTCGCAGAAATTAAAGAAAAAATAATAATAAAATATTCTTAAAACCTACATCATTTCACAAATCATTTCAAAAATCCATCAAAATAAATGTTTGAATTGTGTTAGTTACCTTTCGTCAACAAATGAAACCCATAAAAACCCCAAAAGCATTTTTTTCAAAACAATGCAGTGAATCATTTTAACAGAAACAATAAGAACAAAAATATTAACAGAAAAAAAATACATATATAAAACACTCATCTCATCTTGTGTGTTGTTGTTTTTGGAATTACATCAAACTCGCATACATGCATATGCATGGATTTGTTTGTGCTGCTTGAATGGTATTCTCAATTGTTTGAAGTGTTGAAAATGTGTGAATGAATGAATGTTTATTTCATGTCATTGATTGTTTTTGTTTTCGTTTTTTTCTTCTTTCAACATTCACCATCATTTGACATGTGAAAAATATGAATGAATTATGATGCAAAAAGCAGAATTTTCTTCATTGTCAACAAGGTTATAACAAATTGGATTTTTTAGTTATAATTTCCTCTGATTTGTTTGGAAATATTACATAAAATCATCGAACTGTTTTCCTTAAGAAAACCGGATATGACAACAAGTTTTAATTTACATATAATTTTTATCTTCACATTCCATATGCAATCCATGTGTACAGTGGCTCCAAGTAGGGACAATAACGTATAAAATCGATGGCAAGAAATTACATTGTTTGTGTAACAAATATTAGGTCGAATATTCTTTTGAGAGAATTCGCTCTCTAAAAACCAATTATTGAAAAAGAACATCTGGTAATGATCTGTAAAAGTCAGCTATTTAAAGATGATTCAAGGAGGAGGAGAATTGCAATTTTTAATTGTTTAACGAGAACTATTTTGTTCGAAGTTTTTTTCTTCAGACTGACAGGTCTTTATGGTTTCTTTTTTTTAAATATTGTTAAAAACTTATTTTAAATGACACCAAAATATTCCGAAAAATTATTTGTCATTAATTTCTACTATATGTTCCAGAATAAATCATCAATCTAAAGGTGCAAGAACATAAAGAGCATTTTAGACCGGCTTAAGTCGCCGGCTGGCTTCCATGGAAAAGAACAAAGGAGTGTAGAGCCAAAATCGAATTAAGTCAACCTAAGACTCCTTTGTTCCTCTATGAAGAAGCCAGCCAGAGAAGCGTTTTATATATTCTCACCTAAAAACTTCTATAAGCCAGGAACTCATAAATATTAACAAGTAAAAAGGCTGTAAGTTCGGCCGAGCCGAACTTTGAATATCCTTCACCATTTGGAACGAATTTGGCAATTAAAAAAAAAAAAAACAATAAAATCCGTTAAAAATTCTGTTAAAATCTTAAAAATACCGAATGTAGCTGTTATTTTAGGGTCTATACGACGGCATGGACCTGCATAGGTAACTTTTGTCATAAGCCATCACAATATTCAAATGCGAAACTTAAAAAAAAAATCGGTGAATAATGTAGCTAAAATCATCAAATTCCGAATATCGGGAGGTCCCGCTATATGGGCGCTATACCAAAACGTGGACCTGCACAGACAATTTTCTGTCATAGGCTGTAGTGTCCATTACGAATTTCAAATATAAAATTTGAAACAATCCCGGTGAATAATATCGCTAAAATCACCAAAATACCGAATATCGGGAGGTACCGTTATATGGCCCGTACGTGGCCCATTTTCAATACCAAAAGTCCTGCATGCATAATATACATTTGAGTAAAACTTTATCAATCTGTTTCATTTCATTCGGAAGCTATAGTGATTTCCACAGACGGGCAGATGGACAGACAGACATCGCTAAATCGACATAGAATTTTATGCTGATCAAGAATATACTTCCTTTGTGGGGTCTAAAATGTATGTATCGAGGTGTTACAAACAGAATGACAAACTTTATATACCCTCCATACTATGGTGGAGGGTACAAAAAGGCAGGTTCGGCCGGTCTGAACTTTGAACGTTTTGGAAATTAGATCCGTTAAAAATTCTGTTAAAATTTAAAAATGTAGGTAAAATCATCAAAATACGTTCAGGACCTTCAAATTTCAGATTTGCATAAATCTAGATGGAGTGGGCTTTAACCATAAAACGTTTCTTTTACTTTTACCTATTCCAGGTTTTTAGGTAAGTTTAAGGTTTTGATGTGTAGTAAAATTTTATAATGAACACTTTGTAGAATATTGAGATCTGATAGATCACATCTTAATGGAGGTTTCGTCTTTGAAGAAAATAACCCATTTAATGACTAAATTGTAAGTTACAGAAATATTCCCTTTAATTTTGCCAGTATTATTACAAAATATATAACATAAAATACATAGTTTCCAAGAAATTTTCACTCGAATATTTTTCCGGTAAACTTTCCCGGTAAAAATTTAGGTAAACTTTCGAAACGCCCATACACACGTTTCGTATTCTTAGCTCTACTTACATAATCTCTTGGCTTTCCTTGTGATTATTTTTAGGGACGCACAGTAAACGTGAAGACTTATTATAACAAAGTGAATATTTAGATGGGCAACCCTGCATGCAACATTCCAATAGCAAAGTGTCATATTTGGTATGTCCGTCGGTCCTTCTTTTAAAGTAAAATGCTTGAATGAAACAAGACAATGCACACAGTCACCGACCACCGACACATGCAATCAAGTATACTCGCTCTCTCACTCACTATCGGTCGTATATCTCTCTCTCTCTCCCATAAACTTTACAAAGTCAATAACAATGTGACTACGTCATACAAAACTGTGTCACAGAAAAAGCATTTCTGGTATTACAACAACAATGTCAATAACTTGCAATAAAAGCACTAACTGTTATTCATGCAATACCTGTGTGAGACAGGTTGTGTGGGAAGAAGTATGTATGAATGTTAGCAACACTCTTTTCTGCCAAAAAAAAAAAAAATTCTCTTTACAAGTCTTAAAGCAGCGGTGCTCAAGAAGAAATATCTCTTTTCAGTCAAAGTTCTCTTTGCTTATTTAAATCAAGAACAAAACAGTGTTAAGTCATTATTTTTACAAATATTTTTTATCCATTTGCTTTATAAATTATTTTGGCAAACATTCGTGTTTAAAAACAATTAAATAGAACCGTAAATTATAACGAAAAACAGAATTTTAATTTTCTCTTAAATTATCTCTTTTTTCTCTTCATGATCTAGAACACGTTTTTGAGCACCGCTGTCCTAAAG